GTGCTTTCGAATCATGCTAGCATCATAAATATTTGCTTCTTTTTTTAATTTTAAAAAATTAAAATAATAGTCCTGGCATATTCTCGGTCTCCGATTGAATAATATTGTTTAATGCGTGAATTTTTTAATTAATATAGAATGATTATAATATAATATTTATTTTAAATATTATTTTTTATTTGATGATGAAAGCTTAAATATCGTATTTGAGACCTTTAGGGATAACAATCATCCCTTTAACTATTGAGGTAGTTTAATTCGTGCGTTTACTGTGTGAATTTTAATAATTAGTGCTTGTGAAAGAGTAAATTTAGACTCCTACATATATCGGTATTAATAATTATTTCATGTTTATTTTAATTTACATCATCAATTCGATCACACACTATAATATTTAACTTAAATTATAATTATAAAACGAATTATTTGTTATTGTATTTGTAAATTGTAACTTCAAAAATAATCTTATCATGCATATTAAATAGTTATATTGGACTATGAATTTGATAGGTTATATTGAAGTTGTTGAATATAGTTTAGTTTGCTAATTTTAAAATTTTATCTTTAATTCTATAATATTAGGATGTGATGATCGATTATAGTTATAATCTTTCGTAAAATTGTATTTTTGAACATAATATTTTGTAATTACATCTTATATAAATATATATTTGTTGGTTAAATTGATACCAACTATAAATTTAAGAGATTATTAAAATTTGGTGTAAATTGTCCTTTATATTTTTTGACTCTTTTATTGTGTGCAAACATTCAGAGCCGATGGACTCGAGGAAACTGTGGTTCATTTCGTCTGATACTTTCTGTGCGAGTGTATCGAAGTCAAATGGCTTGACAACCATGTTTTCGACTTTTTGTTCGAAGAAATATCGAAAAATGTAATCCGAACGCAACTCTAGATTGCCGTCGCCGATATTTAAAGCTAAAGAAACTAAATCATTAACTAAGGGACATACCTTCATCTATAATCCATTGTTTGCGCCAAGCTCTGCCATCTGCAACCAAGAAGGCAAAGCAGATCGTTACTGGTCTACATTGTTGCATCTCTGCCTGCATAGACGACAGCGCGGTGGCACGGGTGAATACGAGCCGGTTAAAGACCACTTTGACTCAGACGGCGTAGGAAAGAGTCCTCCGAATGGAACAAACGACTCCATCGAGCTGTAGTTTTTGACAATCAAACTATGACAACCAAATTGAAGTATATGGATTGAAGTGAGATTTTTATTTTTCAAAGTGAAAAAAGTAAAAGACTAGGCTACATTGGGACCTCATAGCCCATAATTAAAGTTATTGAGGCTCCATTCAAATCAATATTGGGCCAATCGATCAAATAATTTCTTTTATATAATTAACCTGAATGAATTATTATTTGACTTGTTTAATTTCTGACTTTTTTGCAGATTAGTCCCTCAGTATGCATGCATTGTTTTTTTTTTAAACTTTTTTATGCATTTAATTATTATGTACATTAATTTGCTTTCAGTCCTTGCGCCTTTTACTAATGTTTGCACGTCACGAAGATGTTTTAACATTCTTTACGTGTAATTGATTCATGAACTCAATTTAGACTTTGAATTTAAATGTAGACCTCCAACATTATTATTTTTAAAATAAATTTTTAAGAATATTTTATAAAAATGGTTTATAAGTGTTCGGTCATACCTAACACAAAATAATCGATGACGACTTCGACTTTTGAAATACACAAATATTTCCTAGCAAAATATTTCTTGAACCTAAAAATGGTATGACAATAACGATTCAAGTGATATTATAATAAATTTGAGTACGATAATTACAATACTCATAAAATATTTTAAATAATAGTGAGATTTAAATCTATGATCTTAAATATCAAGGGTTCTTTATTGCTATTAAACTAAGATCTTATCGACATGAAATATTATATTTCAAAATTAAATTTTAAATTAGAAAAAATAGATAAATAAATAAATAATGTTTTTGTTCATTAAATAAATAGTAAAATTGAAGAAAAAGAAAAAAAAATCTTCACATGAAAGCTACGGTCATGTGGGATAATTAAAGCATCCATGCCTTACTTCATCATCAACTTGTCTTCTCCAACCTTACCCCATTATGTTGCATACATAATATTCTTAGGTAGGTTATATGTAGTTTTATGTTTGATTGCACGTCTTTTTCTTTGAATTGCCTCCAAAAACATGTTTTTTCCCTTTTAATTTATTGCTAGTTATGATAGTTCAATTTATTATTAGGAAATATTAAAATAATATTATTAGATATATCATAATTTTTATTGGAGAATAGTGATTATCATCACCTAATAAATGTCCAAAAAGTCTGTTAGTCTTAATTTTGTCATTTCACATTGAGAATGGAATTTTTGAAAACCTTGGCTTTCCCTCCCCATCTTTGAAAAATGTTACAAGAATATGCTCTTCATTGGCATATATTAGTATATAATAATGACGATATTGACAAATAATGTTTGTTTCTTAGCAAGGAAAAATTAAAGTCTTTATTAATTTTGAAATTAAGTAAATTATACCTTAGTACACAATTTGTCGTTTACTACTTGTTAGCTCTTTATTTACTTTTATTAATTTATGGTAATTATAAGATAATATTTGTTTTAAAGAATCTTAATCATTTAACAACGAAAGCTTAAACATCCTTGCGACCTCTGGTGCTCGAACCTAGGACCTCTAGGAATAACAACTATCTCTTTAACTACTAATATAGCTTGGTTCATGCTTCTCAACCCTTTAATAATTTCAAAATTAAATAACTTGTCAATCTAGTAGTTTTATCCTGATTTTATTTGTGCTGGTTGATATCAAATTTCAAGTTTAAAATTACACAACCTCTTTTTTATGATGTTATAACTCCTAATGTTGGAACCTAACTTTAAAAATCCACCTTCTAAAGGAAGCAAATGAATTAATCAAGCTAAACCCTAGATTTAATGCCACGTTATTACAAAACTAGATCTTATCCATTAAAGTTGTAGAAAAGAAATTTACCAACCTCCTGGAATTGGTTTAGATGGACATAACGAGATGGATTTTTGGCCAAACACAGTGTCCTATATTGGACCAACTCACCTACTATATGATTTAACACCCCTTTTTTAAAGGTTGGAACTTTGGTTATATTGTCTAATTTGGTGACATATGAAAATTCAAACCATATTTTAGTTGATTATCATCATTACATTACTATTCACTAAAATCCAAAATTAGGGGTTCCTTCGACATTTATTCTATTAATTTTATTTTTAATTGAAAAAAATATTATCACCCAACGCCTAAATTTGGGTCAAATTTAAAAATTTAAAATTTAAAATATTTTTTGATAAAAATGAAAAAGCGAAAGGTGGCAATAATTATAACATTGGAAGTAAGAAGTGGGAAAATAAATTAAATCATACTTTTTTTCAATTGTCACATGGAAAAGAAGCTTAGAAAGTGAAAAATCAAAAACAAAAAGAGTTGTAGCTGTCACAGTATCCATGGAGAAAAGAAAAAAAGAAAGATGATTATCATGGCATGAACTTGATTTTCTTATTTCTTTTGCCATGAGAGCATGGCCCCATGACAAGGAGGTTGCACCAATAAAAATAAATAACCAACGGGCCACCACACCAAATAATCAATTGCTAGGGTAGAAACATAATACATCAAAATAGATCCGAAATTCAATTTAAATTCTAATTTGAACATTGAAATTAAGCTCGCTTTAAGACGAATTTTTTTAATTCATTTAGTTAAACTCATTTATAAATGAATCCATTCATTTGCTGAAGTTTGAGCTTAACTTAGTTTAATTGTACAAATATATCATTTACACCCTTTATATTTGATTTTATATTTCTTAGAGAAGTATTAATAATATGAATTAATTATTAATTAAAAGTTTCCTTTTTTTTTTACAAATCTAAAAGATTTCATTACCATTAATAAATTGATTTGTCCTAAGAATAAAAGTTCCCAATCTTTTTCTTTGCTTGGAAGCTTTCTTTTTAAGTTGAAAAATTCACAGATTCAAAATTCAAATATTAATTACGGTTATAACACTCAATTTTTTTTCTTTTAGAAAAAAATGATTTAAATATACAAAATTAATTATTATTATTTTCAGTAAAATGCATTCTCCTAATTTAATTTCTCAAATAAAATTATGGAAGTAAATAGAGAAAACAATTCTCCGAGATAAAAAGTAAGGACACATGATATTTCATATTTAGCATTATATGTTTTTATTTAATATTTATATTAAATAAATAAGGACACATGATCGTAGTGAGTTTTTTTAGAGAAATAAAAAATTAAGAAAATGAGAATGTTGGATAATTATTTTAGAAAACAAGTTAAAATTAACAATTTAACATAATATTATCTTTAAGTGGATATAATTTTATTAAAATTATCACGTGTTGATTTAGTTTTAAAGTTTTCATAAATCATTGATCATTGGTGATGATTTTAATAAAATATTTGACAACCATACATGATTTTAGTAAAAACCTTCAATAATTAATAACGATTTTGATGGCATAAATTAGAAAAATAATAAATAATGATTTTGATAAGATCATTTTCATTTAGGACAATTTTATCAAACACAATATTATTTTTATTAATCTAAATAAATTTATCATAGTATATAACTAAATTTGAAAGAAAAGAAAATTATAATATCCACGTGGATGGATATGATTTATTCACGTGTATATGGGAGGAAATGGGTCCCACGAGCAAAAACTGAAAACCCCACTTAAACCCTTTGTCAGCCTCCCTCTTTTCAAAGTTGGTAAGAAGGATCATCTCTCTCGTTGGCTTTAAGTTTCACAAAAGGGGGGGGGGGGAACACAACATGCAGAAGCTGAAATATGGTATTCTGTTCATGTCGTTTTCCACATTTGAACCTCGAAAATCACTTATTTTCCACTCTTGCAACACCTAAAACACACTCGAGAGAGGTAAAGAGAGGGAGAGGGAACTGGTGTTTTGTTTTTTCACCGGAGTTTTAATTTCATGGAGGCGAGCTTCCAAGTTGAATCTGTGATTGAGTTCTTGAGGAAAAATGGCTTAAAAGAATCTGTGAAAGCTCTCGAACAAGACATGGTGGAGAAAAATGAAGAAGAAAAAGTGGGAGCTTTTCATTTCGAGAAGTTCTTGTTCCCCATGCCGCCGCCGGTGAGGATTCCGGCGACAATACGGAGATTGGAGGTGGACGAGATAGTGAATTCCAGGGATGGTTCGGGCTCCGATGGCGATGAATTCTTCAGCTTGAGGTCTTCTTCTAGTGACGTTTGCTCTTCAGGTAATTAAGAAGAATTGTTTGATCTTTTTACTGATTGAATTTAAGTAGATGTTAATAATAATCATATTTAAACTGAGTTTGTGTTAGAATACTGTAAAACTGCTGTAGGTACAGCACGTGTATGTAAGGGTGGTTAGGCTGTTAGGTTGTTAATCAAGTTAGTTAGTTTGTTAAGCGGTTAATGACTAGCTAAACAACTGCTATAAAAACAATGTATCAGTTGATATGAATTAAGTGATTCTTTACTGAGCATATTTTTTCTGTTGTTCACACTTCCTAACATGGTATCTTTCGCCAAACGCTCTGGGGATTTCTTGTAAGCCTCCGCTACTGCTGCTCTCTCTTGGTAACGATCATGGAGTCGTTCAAGAACTTTGCACACAAGAAAGTGAGTGTTCTCCTTGATGAGATGAATTTTCTGTTGTGGAAGCAACAGATATTACTCACAGTCCGAAGCCATCGCCTCGAGCGGTTATTAACCGGAGTCTTGAAGCCACCACCGGAGACGGTACTTGATAGCAATGGCGAAGTGACTGTCAATGATGCCTTTGAAGAGTTCGTGGCACAGGACAGTGCACTAGCGTCGTGGCTCCTTTCCACCATCAGCCCGCACCTCCTGCCGCAGTTTGTTGGAGCAGATTCGGCTGCCACAGTATGGAGCACGGTGCAACAATTGTTTTCCAACAGATCTACTACCGCTGCTATGGGACTTCACTGCAAGCTGCAGTCACTAAGAAAAGGGAATGACACTATGCGGACCTATCTTTCCCGCGTCAAGGAGGTATGCGATGCACTCGCCTCCTGTGGAAGTACAGTACCACATGTTGGTCATATAGCCAGTATACTTAAGGGGTTACCCAGGGAATACCAGCCGTTCATGGCGGTTATCACTACGATGAAGGAAACGCTCTCCCTCGAAGAATTACACACAATGCTTCTAGATGCTGAAGCCCAGTTAGCTGGATTTGATGAGTCCATGGAATCATTGCCTATGAGTGCAAGTTTTGCTCAACATGAGGCAAAATACTCCGATGACAACCGAGGTTCCAGGTCCTCTCGTCCCTCCTCAAGCAATCGTTCTGCTGCTCGTGGTCGAGGAAGAACCAAAATTCAATGCCAATTATGTGGCAAGCTTGGTCATCTTGTTGACCGTTGTTGGCATCGGTTCGATGAGGATTTCATGTGTGTTACTGCTGAGTCACGGTCTCACAAAGGTCAGTCTGCTAGTGCTCATCACTCGACTGTTGAAACACCTAGCTCGGGGTGTGATTACTGCAATGGTCAGCCTCAAATGGTTGTGCGATCACCACAGGCCAATGTTGCCTCAAAATCAGCTGACCTCTGGGTAGTGGACTCGGGTGCTACTCACCACGTTACCCCCGACGTTAATAACGTCCCAAATTCCGTTGACTTTAGAGGCCCAGGTAAACTAACTGTGGGAAATGGAGTGTCGCTTGACATCCATAACATTGGTAATACGGTTGTTGAATCTTCAAGAGCTATATTTTTGAATGATCTATTGCATGTGCCCCGTATAACAAAAAACTTGATTTCTGTCTCCAAGCTTGCTAGGGATAATGCAGTTTATGTTGAGTTTCATGCTGGCAAATGCTATGTTCGAGATGAATCAACCAGAAATATCCTGCTGCAAGGTGAAGAAAAGGATGGTCTGTACACCTTTGCTTTCGGAGTAGAATCTGGTGCTGCTGTACATGTAGCAGCTGCAGATGTTACACGTGATCAGTCAAAACTATGGCACTGTCGCTTAGGACCCAGCTCGATATGCTCTAGATAGAATAGCTAATCAAATCAATGTAAAAGTTGATTCTGAGGTTAATAAAACTTGCGTGGCCTGCTGTATGGGCAAGAGTCACAAGCTTCCTTTTGATTCGTCTAAAACCGTGTATAAGGATCCATTTGAGCTTATTTTTTCAGATTTGTGGGGACCTCCACACGTGCCATCTAACGGTTTTCGATACTACGTGTCGTTTGTAGATGCGTATACCAGGTTCACATGGGTCTATTTCCTAAAGGAAAAGGCTCAAGCCTTATCTGCTTTTCAGCTGTTTCATAAGCTTGTATTAACTCAGTTTGGTGTAGCGGTTAAGGCAGTTCAAACCGACTGGGGTGGAGAATATCGCCCTTTCTCTGTGCTACTAGCTCAAGCGGGTATTGTGCATCGTCTGTCCTGCCCCCATACATCGGAGCAGAACGGTGTTGTAGAACGCAAACACCGTCACATAGTCGAGCTTGGCCTGGTTTTGCTCACTCAGGCGTCCTTACCTGTTCAGTACTGGTCCTATGCGATGACAACAGCTGTTCACCTCATCAATCGGTTACCAACTAAGGTGCTTGAAGGGCAATCACCGTTTGAGAAATTGTACAGCAAGAAACCCGTTTATGATAATCTGAAGGTCTTCGGGTGCCAGTGCTTTCCCCATCTAAGACCTTTCCAAACTCATAAGCTGTCCGTCCGCTCACAACCTTGCACGTACTTAGGGTTCAGCCCCCGACATAAGGGGTACCAGTGCCTTGCGGATGATGGAAGGGTTTATATTTCTCGTCATGTGGTGTTTAACGAAATGGTGTTTCCGTTTGCAGGTAAAGAGGCGATCAATACGCAACATAGTACCAGTGGCTTTCGATCACAAAGTATTCCAATTATTGCTGATACACAAAGGTGGCACAATATGCCTTATACTACCGGTGTTGAAGATGGTTTGGCTGAAGATGCTCTTCCAGGTCAAGCACAACAAACTCAGACTGTGATTGAAACTGCAAACCCGCTAGAGTTCGCTAATGAGGTTCCTCCTGTCATAGACGCAACCTCTCACTCCAATGCTAATACAAGTCCGGATGTAGGTGACATGGACGAGCCTGTTAATGCTGACACGAACACATGCGATAATGCTTCAACTGAACCTGGTGCCATAAGCTCAATGAAACAAAGTTATCATCCAATGCTGACTCGCAGCAAGTGTGGGGTGTTCAAACCCAAATCATACACTGCCTATTTCGAGCATAATATACCCACGTCTATACATGAGGCGTTGCAGTCCGACAACTGGAGTGAGGCAGTCCGAGCCGAGATAGACGCACTTCGCAGGAATAACACGTGGTCGATAGTAAAACTACCAGCAGGACGTACTCCTATAGGCTGCAAATGGTTATTCAAACTCAAACGGAATCCAGATGGTACCATTCATCGGTATAAAGCCAGATTGGTTGCGAAAGGCTATTCTCAGGTACCAGGACACGACTTCACTGCCACCTTCAGCCCCGTGGTCAAGTTCTCCACCTTCTACGTTATGTTAACTCTGGCTGTGACAAACGGATGGGAGCTCAGGCATGTGGACATCAACAATGCGTTCCTTAACGGGGACCTAGGTGAAGATGTTTTTATGGAGCAACCTCCTGGCTTTGAGATGATGGCAGCAGATGGAACTCAACTCGTCTGTAAGTTACAAAAGGCCCTCTACGGCCTTCGACAAGCGCCTCGAAATTGGCACACCAAACTTAAAGACAGTCTGGAGGAAATGGGATTTAACTCATCTCGTGCAGACCCTTCTTTGTTTGTCAATAGGAAGCATGAGAGTGATACCTATGTGCTGGTTTATGTTGATGACATTGTCATCACTGGGCAGTCTACTAGTAGAATACAAGAGGTGGTGCAGGCGCTTAGACAACGCTTCTCGCTCAAGGACTTAGGTCTGCTCAGTTACTTCTTAGGCATTGAGGTGCATCGGTCACGAGATTCTATTGTTCTGAGCCAAAAGAAATTCATCCTCGAGCTACTGGAAAAGTCTGGCATGACAGGAGCAGCCAATTGTGGAACACCGATGGTCCTGTCTTCCAAACTTTCAGCAAATGAAGGAGAATTGATTTCTAATGCCACTGAATATCGGAGTACAGTTGGCTCTTTATTGTATGTGTGTCACACTCGCCCAGACCTAGCGTATAGTGTCGGCAAGGTCGCCCAGTTCATGCATGCCCCGAGAGAAGCACATATGGTTGCTGTCAAAAGGATATTGAGATATCTGGCTGGGTCGGTTCATTATGGGCTGATGTTCCAACCAGGAGATGATAGTCTGTCTATTGCAGCGTTTGCTGATGCAGACTGGGGAGCAAATGTCGATGATCGACGGTCGATCTCAGGATATGGCGTCTTTACTGGTAAATGTCTTGTGTCCTGGAGCTCGAAGAAGCAAAAACGGTATCGAGGTCGACGATGGAAGCCGAGTATAGGTGTGTAGCAGACACTGCTGCTGAGGTAACTTGGGTTGATACCTTGCTTAAAGACCTCGGGTTGCAGCAACGTCAAGAACCGGTGATCTGGTGTGATAATACAGGGGCTATTGCGATGAGTGCAAATCCCGTCTATCACTCTCAGTCTAAGCACATTGATATGGATGTGCATTTTGTTCGAGAGAAGGTCGCGGCTGGACAATTATTTGTGAACTATGTACCAGCTGAGCATCAGGTTGCAGATGGCTTTACCAAGGCTTTGTCTAAATCTGCTTTTGAAGAGTTTCGAAAGAGTGTGTGTGTAGTGCCTACTGTTCAAGTTGATCAAGATAAGAAAAGTAGAGGGAATGTTAGGCTTTGAGAGGAGAAAAGGAAGAGCAGGGGGAATGTTAGAATACTGTAAAACTGCTGTAGGTACAGCACGTGTATGTAAGGGTGGTTAGGCTGTTAGGTTGTTAATCAAGTTAGTTAGTTTGTTAAGCGGTTAATGACTAGCTAAACAACTGCTATAAAAACAATGTATCAGTTGATATGAATTAAGTGATTCTTTACTGAGCATATTTTTTCTGTTGTTCACACTTCCTAACAGTTTGTGTTTGTTTTATGCTGAATGTGAACTTTTTTTGTTGTAATTGTCAATTTTAGATCTTGGATCGAATGTTGGTTAAGCAATAAGATTTCAAGTTCGAATCTTGTAGAAATGTTAATGTACACAAAAGGTTTTAATGGACTTTATAACTGATATTTCTATCTTATTTCGGCATCCGTATCCGACACTTTTTCGGACATAGATATTGTTGAGGAACAAATGTAAGGTGGTGGTTCATGGTGGTTTAGAGAGGGGTCTGGTGTTCGTTGTCGGATGTAATGTCCGAATTATTTGCCATTAGCGGAGAGCATAACATATTCAAAATTGTGGCTCATGAGATTTCATCCATTTTGTTTGCTACTTCTGCATTTTTTCCATCAATGGCATATCTATATCACTACCAAGTGTACTCATAAGTACTTTTGTTGTATTAAAAATGCAAAAGGGAAAAAAAACTCTTACATGTTCCGGTTCTTTTTAAGGTACTTTGTAATGTTGAAATCGATGTTTCTTTGTGTTTTATTTTTCGCTCTATTTTCAATATCTAGGTGGCCGCTGGGGGTGAATGTTAGTTGATAGTGGCATAAGAGCAGTCCAATTGTTTTTTTCTTCATTTTTGCAGACTGTGTGAATCCATATGGACTTCATCCTGCATCTCAGGCTGATTCCGATACTTCTTCCGATCGATTATCTCAATTCGGGACGGCACGTTATTATCCTGATTTCGAAATGCAGAATGACTTGTTTTGGCACGATGACAAAGACGAAGACCACTTCTTGACCCCTTGCTTTGCTGGGTCAGATTTCTACGGCTGCCCGAGTCAGGATAAGTTTGTCACAACTTCGGAGATGGAGATGCAACGTGATAACGTGCTGATTTCGTATGACAAATCCAATGGATTTCAAACCGAAGATGTCATTGATTACTTGGACAAGCCATGCCTTTTTAATATGACCAGCATAAATGGAGAAAATGAGGTTGGAGTTATGGATCATTATCATTTTGATAAAAGTAATGGGCTTGAAGGTGACATTGTACTCGGGTTGAAGAACTGTGCTTATGAGTCTGAGGGACCAGGTCTTTATGATGAAAATCCGCTGAACTTCAGCTCTATAGGCTCTAAAGGAACAGATATTGATGATTTTCAGCTAAAGGTTGCTGGAGACATTGACAACGATCATAATGGAGCTTCCCAACATATATCAAAATCGAACTTTTACTCGGCCAGACGGGATTCAAATGATTTTATTGATGGGTTTGGAGGTGATTCTGACTTCGTGAACAAGATTTCCGAGAAAAAATTATTACCTGATACAATTGACAGTAATGAAGTTGAAGATGGAGAACTCGGTGAACTTCAGGATGCTGCAAATGAAGAGGGCGACGCTACGGATGCACTTCAAATGTACTCTAATGAGGATGAATGTGAAGTTTTCGATTTGCGAATCATTCACAGGAAAAACAGGTTAGCTTTATCCTTTTCTTTATAGATATTTCAAGTATTCGTGCTGCAGGTTAATACATCTCGCTTAATCCGTAAAACTTGTGTATTATGCCATGAGCAGGACTGGATTTGAAGAAAACAAGGACCTGCCGATTGTGCTACATACTGTCATTGCTGGAAGGTATTATGTTACTGAATACTTAGGTTCGGCTGCTTTTAGTAAGGTTGTTCAAGCGCATGATCTTCTCATGGGGATTGATGTTTGCCTGAAGATCATAAAAAACGACAAAGATTTTTTTGACCAGAGTTTGGATGAAATTAAACTTCTAAAGCTTGTTAATAAGCATGATCCCGGAGATAAGTGCCACATTTTGCGTCTCTACGACTATTTCTATCACCAGGTACATTAGTGAAATGGCTATGGCCACCTCTCATTGTGTGTATTAATGCGAATGATTTTCTTTACGACTTGTGCAAAATCGGTCCAGGAGCACCTCTTCATTGTCTGTGAACTGCTTCAAGCAAACTTGTATGAATTTCAGAAATTCAATCATGAATCGGGTGGCGAAGCTTATTTTACACTAAGCAGGTTGCAGGTTCGTTCAAACAATTATCGGCTTGCCTGCACTCTTCGTTTAGTTCTTTGTTTCTCTTGATTGCATTTACTTTAATGTTTCTAAACTATAACTCTTATCTTGGATTGTTTATAAGCAATAACTCGAAGAATTTGCTATTGATGTTCTCTTGGACAGGTCATAACTCGCCAATGTTTGGAGGCACTCGATTACTTGCATGAGTTGGGAATAATTCACTGCGATCTAAAGCCCGAGAATATTCTCATAAAAAGTTATAGACGATGCGAGATAAAGATTATTGATCTTGGAAGCAGTTGCTTCCGGTCCGACAATCTATGTCTATATGTTCAATCTCGCTCCTACAGAGCCCCGGAAGTCATCCTTGGCCTGCCATACGACCAGAAGATTGACCTTTGGTCTCTTGGATGTATCCTTGCTGAGCTATGTTCTGGGGAAGTATGTCTTTATGTTCAATTTCAAGTTTCTTATAAACATCCTACTTTGTTTTGTAGCCTTTAATTCTGATGTTTATTCATTTTAAGTACCAATGTTTCTTTATAGGTGCTGTTTCCAAATGATGCAGTCGTGATGATCCTTGCGCGGATGGTTGGAATGCTCGGTCCTTTCGACATGGAGATGTTGGAGAACGGGCAAGAGTCATACAAGTATTTCACAGAAGAATATGATTTGTACCACATGAACGAGGTTTGTTTGCGGTTTGCTTTTATCGATACAAGTCCTATATACTTCGATATTTCTTCGATTTTCGGGAGTCTGAAGTACCGCAATATGTGTTTCAATGTTTAAAACCATAAAGGAATTCCAATTCCACAGTCGAGAGCAGTCGATTTTTCAACTTATCGTAACAAACTCATACAGTTTCTTTACCTATCCAGGAGACGGACCAACTAGAATACATTATTACCGAGGAGTCTTCCTTGGAGCTGCATCTTCAAGTATCCGATGTGTTGTTCATCGATTTCGTTAGACATTTACTTCAGATGAATCCTCAAAGGCGCCCAACTGCAAAACAGGCATTACAACACTCATGGCTTTCCTACTCGTACTAAACCGGAACTCACCGGATTGCTGGAGGAACGACGCTTTCATCGAGCAATATCTTACGAGTGAGTCGAGCATATTATCGATTTCAATTTTGGTTTTATGTATAGCAAAAAAAAAAAAAAAAACCGCATCGCACTTGATATTTATTCACATTTTTTTCCTGTACAAAGCTCTTCCCCAAGTTTTCCCACTATCTACATTGTTTTGAGTGACAATGATGCATTCATCGATTAAAACTATTAATGCCTATGAGTGTATATAGTTACATACATACATGTATATACGTATATATATATATACATATATGTATTGTTTTTCATTTTGTCTAAATACGAATCCGATACTGAATTAACATTTGAATTAGTTATTCCTATATGATTTTTTTATAAATGTAAGGTGAATATAAGATGATATTAACAGATCTCTTAGTCATTTAAATCGTTTGATTCGTGTCTATATAATTATTTTTGAATAAATATAAGATACAACATATAATTTAACTTTAATGTGAGATCTCATATTTATGTGATGTTGATTTTCTTAATAAGTCAAGACCTCAAAATTAATGTATGTGATAGGTTCCGCATACCCGAATGGTTTCAAAAGCAGGGTATCCCTGCTTCTGGTTGGTCTGTGTAGGAGAAAGCTCATACGCAAGGCCTCCGGTTCTTCCATGTACGTTCTTTCCATTAATTTTGTAAATTTTCTCCTCGATCAATGATTATTTTTAGCTATTATTTAAGTTTGCCTTGGGGTTTGTATTCATGATTTTATATTGATGAATACATTCATTCAATGTCTATAAACATCTTATGTTTATAAATACTAAACGAATATATTCAAACATAAACATAAGTTTAAAAATATTTAATAAATATTTATGTTGTGACATCGTTTTCGAGGGGAAGTAGTACGACTGGTGGCCACCTATTAACATATTGCGTGGACCGTGTGTTGTTATATTTTAATAAATATATTAAGACAAATGAATATTACTTAAATACATGATCATGAATAAAAGCATGATAACAACGGGGAAAAGAAAACGAAGATCACAAGACATCAACAAAGCATATGTTTTATTAATCAAACATCCAATATCTGTATTGAATTTCTAACATGAAAAATAGTTTTATTTTGGCTTCACAAATATTTCATAGCCTTAAAAAATTTATCATACAATATAAGTGCATTACTTAATGTGATTAGAGATTAAATTTGGCTTGCGCATCACGGATATTCTTTCTACTACCAACATCATTCTTTTGTTTTTTTGATTCATTATGAGAGGGTTCAGTATCACTGCTCTCTTTATCTTTTGTCTTTCCTCTGCCGGCACCACCTCTTTGTTTTTTCAGTTCATTATGAGTGTGTTCATTATCACTCCCATTTTCTTTAGCCTCTTTAACCTTTTCACTACCAGCGCCCTTTCTTTTCTTGATCTTTGCACCGTCATCACTCTCTTTATCTTTAGCCTTTCCGTTATCACGACGTTTTCCTTTCTTATCCTTTGCACCACCATCACTCTCTTTTTCTTTAGCCTTGGCACCGTCATCACTCTCTTTTTCTTTAGCCTTGACATTGCCACGACGCTTTTCTTTCTTAGCCTTTGCACCACCGTCACTCTTTTTCTTTTTTGTATGTTCATCGTCATCGTCATCATTCTCTTTTTCTTTAATCTTTGCATCGTTGCCACTATCCTTTTCTTTAGCCTTCCCCTTCTTAGGCTTTGCACCACCATCTCTTTCTTCCTCTTTTTCTTTAGCCTTTGCACCTCCAACACCCTCTTTTTGGCTACTACCATCCTCTTCTTTCTTAGCCTTTGCACCTTCAGTTTTCTCTGTTTCTTTAGTCTTCCCACTACCACTACCACTACCAACACCATCTTTTTCCTTTTTTAATACGTTCTCAACACCCTCTTTCTCCTTCGCTTGTTTAGTGGAATGATGTTTATCAGCCAGTAACACTGATTTCTCCAAGTCACCAGGGCCTTCGATATTCCCATCTTCAGTTTTTTCAGCTTTGCTTATTGGGAATTGGATCCAGTGGACTAGGACTAATGAAAATACAATCAAAGCAATCTTCACCATCTTGTTCTTCTTGAAGGATAAGTTGAAATTAAAATTGCTAGTTATAGAAAATGATGAAAATGGGATGAAATTTAAATAGTTTATGATGAGATAATCGCGGAAAAAATTAAGCCTGACAAGTTGAGTATTGAGTGGTGTAGCTCTCAATAGCCATACACGAGTAATGCAAAGATAATTTTTTCAACTTTTTCAAAGGCCATCTTCTTCTCCATAACCAACTGTTTTTCCGGTACGTTCTGTTTGTTGTACTTCATGATGCCATGAGTGATTAAAAATACGTTTGTTTTTAAAGAAAAAAAATTATAAATAGAGTTAATTGCATCCCATTTCTTCAAAGTATGATCCTCATCTAAAATTGGTCCCTAAACTTCTACATGTTTCAATTTCATCCCTAAGCTATGACCGTCATTCTAAGTTAGTCTTCAAACTTTTAAACATTTCAATTCCACCCCAAACTATGACCTTCATCCTAAATTGGTCCCCAAACTTTTTGAATATTCTAATTCCATCGCAAACTATATGTATATACTAATCACATCCCTTGTAAATAAAATTGTTAGGTTAAGTTATATTATTATATGTATGAAAAAAAACAAAATTTAGGTTAAACTATGGTTGAAACTAATTACATATTTGGATGAATTAGGGGATTAAATTGGAATATTCAAAAGTTTGTGACCAAATTAAAAAGAGGGTCATGGTTTAGGGATTGGATTAGAATATTCAAAATTTTAAGGACTAATTTAAAGTAAGAATTATAGTTTGGGGATATATGATGTAATTAGCTCTTATAAGAAACAGGTATGGAACATGAATAATATACTCTCACATAAAAGATCGAAAATGAATATTAATTTATAATTTAAAATCTCAAACAATATTTTAGTTATACATGCAACTATCTCATTATAATTTGTAGTATATATTAAATAGGTTCTCATTATGATCATATTTTAAGCTTTTTTTCATTTAATTCTACTTTGACTTCTAAGTGGAATATGATCAGGGATGACAATTTATTTGAAACCAATAGATTTCGATCCGATCTAACTCGATAGGATCAAATTTTTTTAAAAAGAAATTGAATTAAGGTCGGGTTGGATCGGTTTTTATATATGGATGAGGTCGGGTTCGGGTGGAGGGTGAAAAATCTTTAACCCGACCCGACCGGGAGTAATAGTGTAATTTTCCATATAAATTTATAGATAATTGCTACAATACCCCTCTCTATATAGTTTTTTTTTATTATGTCTTTATTTTCTATCACGTTGTGTTGGGTCAGGTCGGATTTATACTCTAAAAAGTTGGGTCAGGTGGGGTTAAGGTGGAGGAAATAAGCTCTTCGGGTCGAGTGGAAGAAATATATCTTCGAGTCGGGTCAAATTCAGATTGATGTATACATATTTCAGGTCAGGTTGGATTGACCAAAAACCCGATCCAGTCCGACCCATTGCCATCCTTAAATATAATGCATTAGTTAAGTTTGCATTACATGCATACATTTTGCATAATTTATATTATACAGTTATTATTTAATAAGTTTTTACATAATTTTTGTATAGATTAGGACGATTATGAACGAAGAATAGAAGATAAAAAGAAGAAGAGAGATGGAGTTGAGTTGGTTTAAGTGATAAGTAAATTGATATCGCTTAAGCAATGTCTCGAGTTCAAATCATTGTGTATGCAGAAAAATCCTGCTGGAAGACTCACCCTCCAAAACCAAATGTGTGACGAGGGTCAATCCGATTAGTCAAGGTAAAACCTTAGAATTAGAGGACAAAAAAATAAAATAAAAAAGATTTAAGTATTTAGACTCGTGGACTTCAAAAAAATTAAGCTTAATGTTGATTCAAGATGATTAGAGTTGGCTTAAGACTTAAATAAATATTTTTTCTTCTATTAGAATTCTCTATTTATAATATTATTTTTCTTGGAAGATTTATGTTTGGATAGCTACATCGGTAGGATATGCATATTATCAATAGATTAAGAAAAGTTTAAAATATATACTACAATATAATTACACTAAATTATTCAAAATAAGGGGAAAATTGAATTAGTCCTTTTGCATGACGACTTATAGCCCTCCAAACCCTTGTAAACTTTTTATAAAGAGGTTGCTTTGTCAAATTTTAGGGACAATCATAATAGCTAAGCAATCCTATCCACCCTAAACCATTTTTTTTCATCTGTGATTTCTTTTCTTCATAAGTCCTAAAACTCTTATTCTCTAGTCAAAGAGATTTTAATGTTTTGATTTTTCAAGTTTATGTAATTTAATTGCTCTGATTACTTTCTTTATTATTCAATATTCACATAGTTTCTGCTTCAATTACATATACTCAAATTTACTAAATATAAGATTCATATTTGAATATTTTTAATTTCAATTAAGATTATTTTTATTCAATAGCCATTGAACCTTCCTTGAGGTTCATTTTCTCTATTCCTCCCTTCCCACCGGGCACTCTCCAATACTTGGGTCTGTCGATATAAGATATTCAAATGAAACCATTTAGCCCACTTAAGGCCCTGATTGCATTTCCTCTGTTTCCAAATATCACAAACCCAAACTTCTTCCTATTTCTTATGTCAAGTTTACCCATATCATCATATATATTAAATATTAATAATTAACAATCTGATTGAAGTATTTAAATAATTAAATAATCTAATTAAATATTCACACGAATAGTTTACCCATAATTTTTTTTGGGTGATATTTGGAAAAAAAAGCCACATTATTTTTATTTTCCAGTGTTGATCCAATCAGGGAAACCCTTTCACGCCTCCCACACACCAGAAACACGAACAAGATTGTATTAATAGGCGATTTGAAGGTCCAAATCGGCGTTTTGAAAGTCCCGACAATTGGGTTTTTGTTATGTATTTGATTTAGAGATCTAAACTCTACTGAGGAGGTTTTCTTTGAAGAGTGAGATTGTTTTATTTGGAGACGATGAGTGTTTTGATTTGAAATCTGGGTAAGGTTTTTTCGACATATCAGAGATTGGCTGAGGCGATTTTTATTTCTTTATTTGATTTGTTTTTTTAAAATAAATGGAAAACAGGTATTAAGAAACCCTAGATTTTGGATTCCTGCCCTTTGTTTGTGGTTGTTTTTTACCCCTTCCAAAATCGGATTTTCCGTTCTTCAAGCGTCAAAGAATCTTAATCAGAGGATGAACAGATTTGGGGTTTTTGCTTTTTCATTGAAGAAATTTGTTGAAGAGATGAGGTTTTCAATTTCTGATTCTTCCATATCAACTTTCGGCATGAAATTGATTAAAATTTTCTTCTGTGGAGCTTTCGTCCATGAGGCTCTTGTCATCGATAGCTGCAGGAGCTTTTGTGGAAGGAGTTTTTATTGCATAGAAGTAGAAGTCACATCTGCGTCGAATTTAGGCTATTTGTCTACTTTAGCTCACTCTATCGAAATCAATTTAGCTGCTGCGTAAATCGAGACTTGAAATACCGTTATTGGAGATATTTTGATTCGTCGATAGGCTGATTAGATAGAAATTTTAGGATGTTTATTTTGATGCGTCAATAGGATGATGTGTTATCTTCTGATGACAAATTGGGTGTTTTTAATTTTTATGTGATTTGGATCTATGGATCTTGGGTTACTTATTCTGATTCAAGGATCCTCATGTGCTTGTTTGTGAAATTCAAATCACCTTAGATGCAGAAAAGAGGTGTAGGGCTATTGAAGGGAAGAATAGTTTTGTCCTTCAAAGGAAACATGGAGATCTTTACTGATGTTTTTGACTCTCGGTCAAGCTTCCATGTCAATTTTGGGGGGCATAGATTGAAGCAACCATAGTACCATACTTCGTATTATTACCCGAAGTTAATATGCAGAAATATTGCACAGAAAAGAACACAGTTTGTCAAAACTGTATACTTGATGAAGATTGATGAAACTTTTACTGTATATATTCTGTTGTGTGCTAAGAACTCTGATTCCAAGATTTTTGAACAAAATTTGTGAAATATTACATTCTCAATTGAAGGGATATTTCCTGGACATCAAAGTTGTCACCATGATCTGCCTCAAGGTAAATGGCATTGGAGGCGTATGCTTGTAGTCTCTTTATCAGCTCTGGGGATGAATATGTAATGTGATGAATATCTGTTTATAAATGGATTGGAGGCTTAAGCTTCTTTTATTTGAAGTTCTTCTGTTCAGTTTTTATTTGTGTACATATGGCTGATCGTTTTTTTTAATGTTGTTATGCAGGAAGGGTAGAAACTTAACTTGTTGAAGACTCGGGTCGGGTTTTATAGTGATCTCTATATTGTTAAATATCTGACAAGATTGGAGGATCCAAATTAACTGTAAGTTTCTTGGGCTTGTAGTTTGTTTTATAGTGATCTCTATATTGTTAAATATCAGTTGAAATTTATTTTATTCAAAAACCTCTTCTGGAATTTTTCTGATACAATATTTCTATACGTAACAGTACGTGGACATTCAGTTCTATATAGATGCTTATTTTATTGGATCTTTTCTTGAATTGTTTCCAGAGACATATTTTTAATTGCACTGGAAGTTTCTCTTATACTCTGGTGTCAAGTAGTAAGCAAGAAGCCACGGCATCCTGCAAGATTTGTTGTGGCAGACCATTAATTGATGGGATGGTATCTGTATCTCCAGGTATGATGAGCACGGTAGGTGTGGAACACAGAAGTTTTGTGAATTCTGACTTGACTTGGAAGACAGTTTCGAAGAGGAATAGGATAGGGACCAGGCGTACCAGGAAATCAGTTGCTGCTATAAGTATGACAATAGGATTGGGACTAGCCAATAAAAATGCCAGAAAAATGGAGAATGTTACAGTGTCAGAGTTAGAGAAGGTAAGATTACATTAATTTGTACTTATAAGACTACCCTCAAGGGTTTCTCACTTGTTTCATCTAATTCTCCATTTTTTTCTATTAGCAGCTTGGTGTGGATATCTTAGGACGGCACTTTTGTGAAAAAATGGAGAATGTTCCAATTAAGAAAAGGAGGTTTATGTTTAGGTCTCCATCACCACCACACCCAATGACCACTTGTCCCAACCTTGAAGCCCCTGGAATGCATGTAGATTTTCAAGCTACTCCAGATCAGAATTGTGGTTCAATCACTAAGCAGTGGCAACAGCTCATGGAATCTGATTGTTCTGCTAAGTCATATGCTCCTAGTTTGAACACAGAAGTTTTGTGAATTCTGACTTGACTTGGAAGACAGTTTCGAAGAGGAATAGGATAGGGACCAGGTGTACCAGGAAATCAGTTGCTGCTATAAGTATGACAATAGGATTGGGACTAGCCAATAAAAATGCCAGAAAAATGGAGAATGTTACAGTGTCAGAGTTAGAGAAGGTAAGATTACATTAATTTGTACTTATAAGACTACCCTCAAGGGTTTCTCACTTGTTTCATCTAATTCTCCATTTTTTTTCTATTAGCAGCTTGGTGTGGATATCTTAGGACGGAACTTTTGTGAAAAAATGGAGAATGTTCCAATTAAGAAAAGAAGGCTTATGTTTAGGTCTCCATCACCACCACACCCAATGACCACTTGTCCCAACCTTGAAGCCCCTGGAATGCATGTAGATTTTCAAGCTACTCCAGATCAGAATTGTGGTTCAATCACTAAGCAGTGGCAACAGCTCATGGAATCTGATTGTTCTGCTAAGTCATATGCTCCTAGTACCGATGATGAGAAGATTTCAGATGTAATAAATGGTGTTGAGGATTTCTCAGGAATTGAAATACTTGCTGCTGCTGCTTGCAGTGATAACATCTGTAGTGATGTTACTGATTATGAGGGAAATCCGGTAGTAGAAGAATCAACACAGGAGAGAATTCAGTCTTCTGTTTCTTCAAGTCATTTAGAAGAAACTACTGCATCACTGGAGACAGCGTATCGCTTTCCAAAAGATTCAGTAAATGAAAGTAAGTCTGACGGTTCATCTTTCCAAGACAATTCCTCGGATTTTTTGCATGAAGTTCCTAGTGACAAGGATACAGCACCAGAAAAGTCCCCCTTGCGTGAATTTCCTAGTGGTAAGGGAATGAACCTTTTGGTAAATGAAAGTAAGTCTGAGGGTCCATCTTTGCAAGACAACTCCTTTGCTGTTCTGCATAAAATTCCTAGTGACAAGAACACAACACGAGATAGGTTCATTCCATTGCCAAATGATAGATTACTCTGGGATTTAAATGTTCCAATGGATGCTTGGCCTTGTGATGGAGGAAATGTCGATTTTCAAAAGGATTCTGTTGATAATATTTCTGTGAGAAGTGAAGAGTTGCAGACTATGGAATCTCGAGATATAAAAACTGATAATACAAACACTATAAACGAAGTGGTTTCATCTGATGTGGATGGGGGTAATAGGATGACTTCAGACTTGAGAAGCTTACCCGCTGGGACTGATGATTTGGGTACAGAGAAACATGAATCTGGTTATGGTTCACAAGATATAAAAGATGATACTACAAACGGAGTTGTTTCATTTGAGATTGATGGGGGTGATAAGATGACTTCAGACTTGAGAAGCATGACTGTTTGGACTGATGATTTGAGTGCAGAGGAACAACAATCTGGTTACGATCAGAATATATAAAAAATTGTACTCCAAAAACATTGGTTTCCTCTGATGTTGGTGGGGGTAATAGGATGACTTCAGACTCTAGAATCATGCCTGTTGGGACTGATATTTTGAGTACAGAGAAACATGAATCTGAAGGATGCTCTGGCTATGATTCACGCTTGCAGACTAAGGAACCTCAAGATATGAAAAATGAAACTGCAAACGAAGTGGTTTCATCAGATGTTGATGGGGGTAATAGGATGACTTCGGACTCCAGAATCATGCCTGTGGAGACTGATGACTTTAGTACAGAGAAACAGGAATCTGAAGGATGCTCTGACAATGATTCGTGCTTGCAGACTAAGGAACCTCAAGATACAAAAAATCATGCTGCAAACCAAGTGGTTTCATCTGATGAAGATGGCGATAATAGTATGACTTCAGACTTGAGAACCATTCCTGTTGGGACTGATGACTTTAGTACAGAGAAACAAGAATCTGAAGGATGTTCTGTGTGTGATTCACGCTTGCAGACCAAGGAACCTGAAGATACGAAAAATGAAAGATGCTCTGCGTGTGATTCTCGCTTGCAGACCAAGGAACCTGAAGAGGTTTCATCTGATGTTGATGGGGATAATAGGATGACTTCAGACTTGAGAACCATTCCTGTTGAGACTGATGACTTTAGTACAAAGGAACAAGAATCTGAAGGATGCTCTGTTTATGATTCACGCTTGCAGACCAAGGAACCTGAAGATACGAAAAATGACACTACAAATGAAGCGGTTTCATCTGATGTTGATGGGGATAATATGATGACTTCAGACTTGAGAACCATTCCTGTTGGGACTGATGAGTTTAGTACAGAGAAACATGAAACTGAAGGATGCTCTGTTTATGATTCACGCTTGCAGACCAAGGAACCTGAAGATACGAAAAATGACACTACAAACCAAGCGGTTTCATCTGATGTTGATGGGGATAATAGGATGACTTCAGACTTGAGAACCATTCCTGTTGGGACCGATGAGTTTAGTACAGAGAAACATGAAACTGAAGGAGGCTCTGATTATGATTCTCAATTTGAGGATGGGGAGTTGAGGGAATCAGATGATCAATGTTGTGAGGAAGCTGAACAGGTGGATTATGACACTGAATGTGAGGAAGAAAGATCATTTGGTTTGGAAGCCGGCAGTGATGAGCAGGAACTAAAGGTAGAAAGAGGATCAAATCTGGAACTAGCTGAGAGGTCTAAATGTTGTGAAACGGGAGAGGCTTTGAAGACAAATTCAGTTAGCTTGAAGATTAGAACTATGGAAATGTCTAGTGGTGAAACTATGAAATTTGATTGCTTGGATAGGTCTAATTATGATCTTAGAGTAGATTTGTCTAAGGAATCAAAAAGGGAAATGCTTTCTTGTGTTGGAGGATCATTATCCTCTGATGTTCCGAAAAGCAGGTAAAACTTTGGGACTCAATTCTCTTCTTTTGTATGTACATTTTTAATTTTGATTGATTTCTGATCATTCCAATATTTCAGGCTTGACAATTTTAGTGGTTCATATACTCGAGCTGAAAGAGGCTCGGGTTCTGATAAATTCATGGGGAGTGAGAGATCTTCACATATGCGTGGCAGAAGCCCAGAAGGTGCTCGCTTTTTCAATCCCTCGGCTAATTACTGGGATTCTTCTAAGCGGGAGGATCCACATAATTATCACTGCCCTTACAATTTTGGGTGCCCCAGATCAAAAGGTGCTTTTGGGAATCAAGAATATTCCGAAGGGACAGACCAAGCACCTTCAGATGCTGCTGGTGTTGCAAGACCTGACCACCGCATTACCAGGCAATTTATGGCCTCTTACAGACCACTCCTTAGAAGGAGATCTCCAATTGAAAGAGACGATTCTTACAATATGCATCCAAGGATGCCAACTGTAGAGGATACTAGTCCTGATCGGAATAGGTTTAGAAGATTTTCGCAAGGGGTTAGTAGAGGCATTAGAGAAAAATATCTCAGGCTTATTCCTGATTATAGCACCCAATACATGCGTCGCATGCCTCATCGTATAGACAGGAGAGAAAGAAGCATTTCTCCCCATGGTGGAAGACCTCAGCATGCTGTACCTTACAAGAGAGCTTGGTCAAGATCAAGAAGCCCATCTCCCATTGATTGGTTGTTGCAAAGGGATCGAAATGAGGATTCAAGACGTCGCAACAGGTCACCAGATTTTAGGTCTGATGCTAGAATGGATAGAGTGAGGTTGCCTTTTACCAAGCGATTTGCTGCTGGTTATGCGGAGTTTATATCGCCACCTCGGAGTCATGTTTCACCACAGCAAAGTTCCAGGATGTTCGAGGATCACCATCCTGGTTTTGACCATTTTAGGGGACGGAAATCACATGTGAGGATGATTCGGCAGGACCAAAGGTTTGATCAAGTGCGTTCCATTCGGAGATTGAATTCAGATGATTACTTCAACCCCATGATTCGACCAAGAAGATTTCCTGATAAGACTGCTGGCGGTAAAGGGTGCAAATATGAAGTCAATGATGATGGTAAACATAGCAGTGGCAGATATGCAATGATTCATCGGTTGAGGTGTTATGATACAGACGGTGGAGCCCGTCCATTTCGTTATAATGAAGAAGATTCATCCATGGCTAAGAACTCTTTCACCATGACTAATGCCAATGGGGTCTCATCTAGGCACCCTGATGATGCCTGTAGCACCTAGGACAGTCGGTGAAGATAGGTGAATTCTTTTTAATGCAACTAGAAAAGGGTGACATGAAAACTAGAAGAGGTGATATCTTTTTCTCTTTACCTAATCATATGCTTGTATTTGGCTAGTTGGTTTTTTGTTTCAGTTTTTTCAGTTATAGTTTTAGATTTCCCTCAGCAAAGAAATATGTTTCTTATTTTACCTCTTTACTCTCTTTCCACATAGCTGAAGTTATGCTTCTTTTTATAGTTTGGTTATGCAAAAAGCAAAGGAATTCATGGAGATGGAGAGTGTTTTGCAAAAGATTAATCCACATTTTTATTTTCATGGCATAGGAATGAGATTATACTTACCTGTTGATTGAGCAATGTTATAATTACTATTAAAACTGCATTGCAAGTGTTTATCGAAATGGAAGGATGTAAAAAGGCTTCTCTTTTCTGTGAATTTGATTCATGTATTGTCTTATCCTGAATGTTGGATAGAAATTTAGACCATGGTCTATGTGGAGCAGTGATAGACCGAGCAGTGTCTTATCATGAGTCGTTGCACGAGACACACATATTTGCAGATTTGAGCCCCCACTTCATCTAATATAAGGTTAATTTTATCATTTTGTATCTAAAATGACTTGTATTTTCCTAAACCTCTTGTAAACACTTATAAATAGGTTGTTTTGTCAAACATTTGGGACATTTATAGTCTTAGCAAGCTTATCCACCTTAAACTTTATATTTTCTCGTGTTTTATTTTCTGAGTTGTTAAACTTTTTTTTTAAAAGGATTTCAATATTTTGATTCGTTAAATTTGTGTGATCCTATTGCTCGTATTGCTTTCTTTATTCTTTGATTGCCTAGAATACTTTTCCTGTCAATTAAAAATATTAAATTTGTAATTGTTTGATATATTTCAATCCTCGAGACAAATAACATGTTGAATATAAAATAGATATGCAATTCATGTCAAGTGAATGAACCTCGCTTGTATGTGTATTTTTTTAAATTCAAAATTTAGCAAAATTCGACACTAAAATTCTCAAAATATAATTTTGTAACCTTTCGAATTCCATCCCCAATTTTGGTTTATTACTAATTATAAAAAGACACGACCTGGATATTGTGTTTTGCTGGTTTTGAAGTTCTAAAGTGATTGGTTTTCAAATGAATTTTTTGTCACTTTGCTAAGTGAAGATCAATTTTTTATCATTCAAAGAATAAAAACGGTAACGCTATGAGAAGGCCGTTAGAACATTTCTTTTTTTAAATTGAAGTTTCCAACATGAAAGAATAATTTTATTTTGACCTTGAAAAAAATTCATAGCCTTTAGAACTTATGGATGCATTAGAGGTTCATCAGTTAATGAGATTAGAGATGAAGTTTAATCTGTGGGTTACCCGAATGCTCTTTCTTTTTAATCCTTTTTAGGCTTGGCACCACAAGCCTGCTCTTTCTCTTCGGATTTTCCACTACTAACCTATGTTTTGTTTTTCTTAGTTCCCTATGAGGGACGGTGTTCCTCATCACCAATCTCTTTTCTTTTAGCCTTTCCGCTACCATGTTTTTGTTTTTTGCGTGTTCCTCATCATCAATCTCATCTTCTTCAGAGTAGCATTCTTTTTTCTTTAGACTTTTCACCACCACCAGCGTGTTTAAGTTTTTTCAGTTTATTATCAGAGTGTTGATCATCGTCACTCTCTTTTTCTTTAACCTTTGCACCCTCAATACTCTCTTTTTCTTTAGCATTCTCTCTACCAATATCATCTTTTTCTTTTATGGTGGAGGAATTTGGAAGGATTGTAGAAGTAGGAGAGTGGAGTTTATGAAGTTGATCGCAACTTCTAGGCCACACGGTGGGGATTATAAAATTCATTTGAGTTGGTCCTTAAAATCGTAAGAGTAGAATTGATATGAATAAGGATGTATCCCAAAGATGTTTGTTATCATACTTCCAAGGCTATATGGAAATCCACTCTACTAACTTCACTCTTCATATCTTTGTTATCAAAGAATCCAGCTTCAACACCTAAATACAACGCTTGTTCGTCATCCATTCATGAACCCTTCCCCGTTGAATACCAGTGATCCAAGATGTTGGAAAATGATTGCATCAGCCTTTTGCTAATTACACAACTAGTTTAACATTTCTTTGTCAAATAATTTATGTATTACAGGTTACAAGTATTGCTTGATCACGCAGCAATGTCACCAGCAACTGCACACCTTATTTTACTTTCTGCTATGCATCACATGGCTTCACGGCGGATTGATGAACTCAAACTGCATAAGGAGCTTTACATTGTTGTACTTGTCACCCTTGTTGTCCATGAGCGGAACGGCTCGAATCCCGCTTTTTAGCTTAGCGATTGGTATGCATGTTTGCCCTGCAAAGTCGTCTTTTTCCATGTTGTATTCGTGGACTTCGATCCGGAGTAGAGCCAGTTCTGGCACGGTTATATGGAACTCGAACTGGTTCCAACAAGGCACCCAACTGTTTCCTACAGTCTGTTTTCTTCATATTTTTATCTGCTCCCTCCAGCAACTCCCACCTGCAGAGATCGAATCAAATTTCTGGATGATGAACTAATATCTGTGTTTTACATCACTGCAACGATTCTGTGCATTACAACGATGTCGGTGTATATCAAATTTACCTTTGCGTAAAAGTCCGGCGGTGAGTATGGATCGAAATGTGTGTGATCAAAATCATGTAACCATAACTATTGATTGAAGATTAAACAAAAGAATTCAGAGCCCATGTCAATCAAACACTCACTTTCAAAGTCATTTTCACTGGATGCTTGTCTTCGGGATCGAAGATTTCGTTAGGGTTCAGTAGTAAATCGGGTTTTTTAACATATCCGCATTGCCCATTGGCTCTGAACATTCCTTGCATCAACCATAGATGTTTATCATTACCCTATAACACACCAACAAGATTACTACTACATCCAAATGTCATATAGATAAATGGTAAGCAGAACACTATATCTTGTGTAAACCTGCATATTAAATGCAACCATTTGAGCTCCGTGCATCCATGCAATCATTGACTTGTAATTGGAAGAATCGACTCGTAAGCCTTTCGGATATACTCGTAAAAGTTTGCGCTGCGTAAACCTGTAGTAGCACAGACGTCGGAATGAGGGAAGTTTGGATTTCGATAATTAGAATACAGAACCAGACACATGAGCATGATTAATATTTTACTAAGTACCTAATCATCAGTTCTCGATGAGTTGCTGCAGAACTTTCAAGTTCTAGTTCACTCAGGCTAAGACGTCTCACTTTTTCAGAATCCAAAATTAGGCACTCATCTAATTCACCCTTTGGCTTCCCAGCTTGAATAGAAATTAAATGTTTATATTCCAGTGCCTTCTTTTGCTTCGGCTCGTTTCCGCTCGGTTCAGTCTGTCATCAGAAAGTAAATAACACTCAGCATCACGAGGCATATTGTAATCAGTTACATGACTACCTTGAAAGCCAGAGACATACCTTATGGGGTGCCACTTCGTCTCCGTCCTCATCGCTTTGCAAATCATTCTCTTTATACTTCTTCGATCTTGGTGTATTCCTTTGGTGGTTTGGTAGATATGATTACGCGTTTCTTCAATGACTCCAACGAAGGGAATTCTTTTAAGACTTCTCCACCCGGTGTAAACAAGACGTCTCCGAACGTTTGAGTGATCATCTAGAAAATAGACACCCAAGTGTAAATTATGGCAATACAGATACTGAATGCTTAAACTTCACATTGAAAAACACCAGGACTCACATTGGCAGCTTTAGCCTGAAGATCCTTGGTGAGATGATCTTCTAGAGTTATAACGACCGGGAATTCCGATGAAACGAAAGCATACTCCTTAATAGACTCCAAACATTTGACGAGTGTCACAGGAGCAGTCAGAGTCCTGCATGAACACACCATTCATTATTCTTCAGCTTTGTTATCTGCAATTCGATGTTTCTCCGGCCTTATGTTTTCTCTTCCGATAGCATTCAAATGCATATCTTCGAGGTAAACGTACCAAGTTACCGATCAAATCGTTGTAACACAAGTATGACATAATGTTAAAGAACATACCCTCCATGAAGAACATCAACATCATCTTTCTCTGAACTCGGCCATATATCCAATTCTATCACTCTCACACCTCTCTTAAGTGCATTTATGATGGGGACATCACCGCAGTCGCTGGTTAGTTGATTACCGGTGAGAAACGAATTGTGGCCGGTGAATATGAAATATTTAGACAGAGGAGCACTCAAATCATGGTGCACCTGAAAACTAACATGGAACAAAGTAAACAATAGAAAAACATCTAAAATGAAACACAAAATGAATAAAAGAGAGAACTTGTTACCCCAAGAGAGGCTTGAGGAGAATTATCATCACCAAAGAGGTACCCAAAGAAGGCTTCAAGATGAAGATCCTTCTTATTAAGATGGCTACAACCGTCGATAATTTTCCTAGCATCGTCTTCGGTGGCCGTGTCTTCTTTCTGGACCTCAACCAAGAACTTATGCAATCCATCAGCATCCATTGACTCATTCTCTGAGTATTGTTCAAACAACTTCTTGATTTGTTCCGGTGCCTCGGGAACCGGAACCTTAAACCTCCTTCGGAATCACAGGCAAACGCTGTATGATTGGTCCGACATTGGGTTTCTCCTAGATTATCCAAATGTCTAGGAAACGAAACAGGTCCGATGATTTAAAAAATTGTCTTAAATTGCATAGGATCTTTGTTTCAGGTCATGTTGCGGAAGACGGCTATCGGATAGAGTAAAATCGCAACTGATAATTTGAGAAAATAAAAATGAAGATAAAAGAGACAAAATTTACGTGGAAAACCCCTAAATAATATAGGGTAAAAACCACGGGCAACGGTAGAAGAATTTAACTACGAGAAAATAGGAATTACAACCTCTCTCGATCTACCAAGGAGAAAACAATGATAATTCTCTCTTGATAAAAAGGAGAAAACAACTCTTAATAAACTCTCTAAATTCTCTAGTATTGGAAGAAAGCTAGAATGCTTTGGGATGGTTTTGTAGCTAAATGAGCTAGGGTATTTATAGTTGAAGCTTAAAGACTAATTTGTAAATACCCTAAATTATAATGACTAAAATTTAGATTTTACCATTGTTGAAAAATCAACAATTGCTGTTATATTTTCGGTGGATAATTCTCTCTTGATAAAAAGGAGAAAACAACTCTCA